AGAGTTAACAAGAAGCCTGACCTAATGAGCCAATCAGTTTATAACCTTATGGAGTCTTGTGTGTGATTTTCTTTGGGCTTGCCCGGCTTTGGGGTACTGGGCAGGACAGAAACCCCAACAAGCCGGCCCTCATGTTACACCACTTGATGTTACTAATCTTTACCTGATCAGCAATAAACCGAAAGCCTCTATTATTTTACAGATTCTACTAATGACAATTTCCCTTATGTCTTATATGAATATAAATATTATTTATAAAATGTTCCTTCTACTATATATATGTGTGTGTGTGTGTGTGTGTGTGTGTAATATTTTATTCTTGGATTTGTTCTCATAGAAACAACCAGTGCAAATGGATTCACGTTCTCAAAATGCAGTTTTCATTAGCATTGGCCATGAATTGAAACACAGAGTCTTCTATCTGTTATTTACAGCCCTCTACAACATCCTCAATCTCTGTGTTCACTCTTACCGTCACTGGGTCCTGAATATTCTTCACAGCTCTCCCTTACTCTTTTCTGCACTTTTGCTTTTTTTTTTAAACTACCTTCTAAGACAGTGATGTCTTTTCTCCAGTCCTAGAATTTCCTCTGTGCTTAAAGGACCACTTGAATTACATCTTCTGCTCAGTCCTTCTGTCTAGACTTGAAAATTATCTTACACTTCTTTGAAGTCTCTGAAACACCCCAACACTTTCTGTTTCTTTCTCAGAAGCAATTGCGGTCTACCTGGATAAACAGGTGGGGTTACCATCCGCCACCACCTGTCATGAACAGACAGAATCCTAAGCATCCTATAGAGAAGATGGAATCTCATTTCCTACATATATATTATATATATATATATATATATATATATATATTACACAGAAATGCTTGCATCCTAGAGGATGCTTTTACATGGGCATTTGTTTGTTTACGTTTAGTTCACCTTTTACTTCAAAAACAGATGTACTAAGTTTAAAGTTCATCAAAATTTCAAACAAACATTTTAAAATGGATGTTTTGCCTGCATTTATGTCTGTGCACTCCTTGCATGCCTGGTGCCCACGGGAGTCAGAAGATGACATTGGATCCCCTGGAATTTGCATTATAGTTGTAAGCTGCCACGGGGGCACTGGGATTCCATCTCAGGTCTCCCGTAAGAGCAGCAAGCACTCTTAACCACAAAGCCATCTCTCCAGCCTTAACTATACAATTATGATCACTCTCAGACATGAGAATAAAATGAATGTGTACATGCAATATTAAAACATGGAATGATGGACTCTTTTTACAATAATATCAGCAGTTTTATGTACTCATTTTATGATGAACAATTGAACTCAATTTCTTTATACTGATATAATTGTGTTGAGAAAAAAATGAAATCTCAAAAAGAGATTTGTCTGTGGTCACATGAGTAATTTATAGTATTGTCAGCTACATAACAAGGTTTTTCATTTCTAGCTTAATGCTTTTTGAGTTCTTATCTCCAAAATCTTTGTCCATTTTTTGTATTAGCCACAGATATATAGCTATAGAAAGAAGAAATATTCTCTTTCATTTTTCTTTTCAAATTATTATTTGGATACAGAATATATAGTAAAATTCATTAATGGTGATTAAAGAGAAT